AACCCACACACAGGAAAGAGAAGCCTATGACGAAGTTTCGGTCCGACTTGGGAGCTAGGATTTTCTCTCTAACAACAAATATTCACCCCCAGTGTCCTAGAATATGTTATGAGAATGCATACTCTCCTGTTTATTTTAAGTGTAGAAGGTCCAGGCGCCAGTAATTGTCTTCAAAAGTCTGTAGATATCACGATTTCAATGATTCTCCAAACTACAAAGCCCATAGTACTGAAAACCTCTTTCACACCCTTTTCTCCAGCCCATTCTGGGACGAGCCCTACCTTCCCTTCCTCCCATCTTTATTTTATACTCTTGGTCATCCGATTCTACTCCACTCTTTCTAAATGCTCAAATCACCTCCACAAGTCTTTCTCTGCTCTCTGAATCTAATCCTTCATCGTGTTCTAATTTCTATGCTCTTAATTCCTTGCAAAATAGGCACCTCAAACATAACATCTTCACTCTCTCAAGCCTCCTCGCTGCAACGTTTAAAGCCCACGCCTCACGCTTATGTAAAAAGAGGTTTGATACCACAATATTATGGTACATTCTTCCTTTTGCTTACATACATAAATTTCTTAGTTTACACTAACACTTCAACACCAACTGTGTGTCTCAGGGCTAATGGAGACAGACGCCAAACACTACAAGGGTTATACATTTTTTTTCGCTAGTCAATCGTTAGGTATCTGCACATAATGTATGGTAAACCCCAGCGGAGACTGAGCCATTCTCCATCACAGATGGTGAGCCACACTCCATCACAGACGGCAGACGGGTAATGAACCACACTCCATCACAGGTGGTGACCTTGGAGCCTAAATGGAAACTAAAACCTAAGATTGAAAACAAAACCAGAAGAGGTATAACAAACAATACACCGAGGGAGAAACAGGAAGGACGAAGACTGCCCAAAGCTGAACCACCTGGATGAATAACTGACGCAGGAGAACTCCTTTCACACCTTTAACTGCATGTTTAACAGTGCATGGTTCTCTTCAAACTGAGCCTGCTGAATAGGCCGGCTTCCAAAAAATTCTTTTATAGAATGGGCGTTGAGGGAGTGAATCTGATCACGATGAATACAGAGGCAGCAACAGAAACACCATCTCCGCAAAAGCAAATACTCTAGTGCAAATAGGTAAATAGACATACACATATATAAATAAAAAAAGCTCCCACCCACCAAAAAATATATGCATATGCATAATGTACATAAAAAAAAAACTAATTCACATCCACACACACACACACACACACACACACACAAGCAAGAACAAAAACGCCCTCCAACACACATATATGTGCGCACAAATACACACGGATGCGCTCCCCCACACAAGCACTCAAATACTCGCATAAATATACTCAGAAGCAAATAAATATAAGCAAGCAAAAGCATTCGTGCAAAGTGGCTGTGATAAGCAAAATAATACCAGTGAATCAGTGAAAAAACAAGTGTTCGTGATCTGCAAGGAGTGTCCGTGATAAAATAAAAAAGTGTACTTATTCATGAAAAAAGTGCCTGATAGGCGAAAAATATCTATGCAATGAAACAGCATCTGATCAGTTTAATGAAGTTTCGTGATCAGCTAAAAGAGAGAGTCCGCAATCAGCAAGAAAAGGTGCATGATCAGCTAAAAATGGTCCAATATCAGCTATGAAAGGTCCAAGATCAGCTATGAAAGGTCCAAGATCAGCTATGAAAGGTCCAAGAGCAGCTATAAAAGGTCCAAGATAATCTAGAAGTCCAAGATCTGCTAGAAAAGGCCCAAGATCAGATACAAAAGATCCAAGATCAGCGAGAAAAGATCAAAATCAGCTATAAAATGCCCGCATATAAGAAAGCACATTGCAAATATAGTGTAAGTAAAAACTGAAGCAAGAACACAGGAACTAATGCTTAATGAGCTTTGTCTTAATTGAGCTTTGAGCAAGCTTACACATGTGTGCGTGCCCACGTACGTACCTGTCTCAACCTAACCCGACTTATTTTATGTACGAAAACAGTAACCCTCTCATTCAGAGGTACACACACACACACACACACACACAGGTCCTGAGAGAGGGAGCAGAGGCGCTTTGTGTACCACTAACAACAATCTTCAACACATCTATCGATACAGGACGACTACCTGAGGTATGTAGTCCAAATTTTTAGAAAAGGAGACAGACACGAAGCAGTAAACTACAGACCAGTGTCACTAACATGTATAGTATGTAACGTCATGGAGAAGATTATCAGAAGAGTGGTGGACCACCTAGAAAGTAATGGGCTTATCAACGACAACCAGCACGGTTTCAGGGACGGGAAATCCTGTCATAAACGTACTGGAGTTCTCTGACAGTGTGACAGCAGTAAGAAAAGAGAGAGAGGGGTTTACCTGGGGAGGGTTTCGAGGGTCAACGCCCCCGCGGCTCAGCCTGAGACCAGGCCTCGTGGTGGATCAGGGTCTGATCAACCAGGCTGTTACTGCTAGCTGCACGCAAACTGACGTACGAGCCCAGCCCGGCTGGCCAAGTACTGACTTTAGGTGCCTGTCCAGTGCCTTCTTGAAGACAGCCAGGGGTTCACTGGTAAGCCCCCTTATGTATGCTAGGAGGCAATTGAACTCTTGGTATCTTAGCACAAGCTGTGTGCTAAGATACCAGCTCTTAACCAGTAGACGAGTTAAGTAGGATAGCATCTCAAAGCTTTTAAATGAGCCGGCATAGGCTAACACCTCTGAGTCTGTAAATTCAACAGTGTAAAAAATTAACTGTTTAAATAGAAGATTACGACTTCATGAATAACCTTTCCTGTGACGTACTGTATCACAGCAATAATGCTCAGTAGTTTTCAGGTTTATATGGAAAGAAGCTTATGTTCATTAGTTTACACTGAGGCGACAGTGTAAGCTGTATAAACTGATGTGTGTTGGTAATGCTTTAATTCCTAGTGATCTTGAATCCCCATCTTTGCTGTGTTTTTATCGTGTCTGCACTACTGTTGTAACGCTACTTTGGACTATATTGAATGAGTGTGTCATTCCTGTATTCTGTTCTAACGGAGCTTTGGAATACATTCGACGGGTGTTATAATGCTGTATTTTGTAGCAAATCCTAATCTGGAAAAATCATTCAATAGTGTTACATTGCTGTAGTTTGCTGTATCGCTACTTTAAGATACATTACGCTACTTTTAAATGTATTAGTGCTGCACGAGGCCCTCCAGTCTAGCTAAACGAACAGCTTATCTAAACTGGACCTACCAGTACAAGGCCGTCCAGATTAATAATTACTAATATATGATCATATGATTATCATTATCAATATTTTTAGTCTTTATTCAAATGGTTTAGTCTTAAAGAACAGGTCGCTTGTTCACTCTGGTGAGTTACATATCACATTAACACGTGAAAGCTATACAGGGTATATACCTGCTTTTGGAATGCAAGGTTATTTGGGAACGTGTAATAATCATCACAATACCTTGTGTCGCGTGCAGATGCCAATAACAGCGCCATAGTGAGGAAAAAATTATTTGGAAAACTATATAAAGTATGTGGGTGGGTGTAAAAAATATATATAATGGGCATTCTTATCCAGAGAAATTTCATTACCATGAGTCTGTTAGATTTGACAGCTCTGAAGAAATATTGATTATTACTAAAAGCATTAACTAAGTCCATATCCATTATTAGAATTCTTGGGAAATTTAATAATAAACTCTAGAAGCTGATTAATTTTATCATGACAGGATTCATCCAACAAGGTATATTTATACACCATAGGTAGGTTAGCATGGGCCACCACTGTGACTACAAATGCAAGTTTTTACAGACGGATCTCCCGCCGGTGGGATATTCATCTGTAGTCACAGTGATGGCGCATGTTAACCTCCCTATGGTGTATAAATATACCTAGTTGGATGAATCTTATTGTAGACAGCTGGTCCAATGACCTACGCACTCACCCAGAGTTTTATGACTTACTCGCCATGGATTCACCCCCCCCCCTTCCTTTCTCCTCTGTTCCGTGGTATGATGGAAGTTTGCTCTCGCATGAAGATGACAGTGTTATGTGATTATGGAGGCAATGCTTCATTACTCTTAGTACTCCTAATCACTGTTTACTATACAGTGGGCAGCATAAAGAAGTAGCAGAGGCAATGGAGCATCACTTAGCTAGAGTTTACTAAAGGGTTACATTTGCTTCACGAATTTTCTCTAATTCAAACCCGTGTGAGAATTTACTCCTCTGATGTTACTTCACAGACTGACGAGCGCCGTGACGTTATTTACACTTCTTATGGGATATAACCTCTAACTCCTCTACGTGTTTATTTTACATATCTGACCTAAAGCGATTCACTTAATCATACATATGAGGACATTTTTTCTTTTTGCATTACAGTTGAATTAATTATATGTGAAGATTTAATGTGTTATCCATATAGGACTGAGTTAACCATGTGAAAGATGAGGGGGACAACTAAAGAACATATTACTCAAAAGTGTAAATAATATCTTGTGATGGTACCATAAAAAATTGCTGTTAAAGAGGCTGGCAAATCTTGGCGACGAATACGTTCGTCACTTGGGAGTTTAAGGAAGGGAAAATGAGGAAGGATGTTTAGAGATATGAACATCGCTTTCATTTCAAGAAAATACTCAGCATTCTTGGCAAAACAAATAATACAAAACGCACATAAGAAAGAAGGAGCACTGCATCAGGCCTACTGACCCATGCTGCAGGCGTACTGTCCCAAGCTAGGCAAGTCTAGCTCTTTCCTTCTGGTAGATTTTCTTCATTTGACAATCTGCTCAGTGAAAGTTTTGGTAATTTGAGCGACATATTGCTCTGCCTTACCGGTCGAGACTGTAAGACATGTTGATGGTATATGTAGTTTAATGCGTCTCAGCATCGCCTTCCTACAATATTTTAACTAAAATTGTTTTCTGTACGACGTAACAATAACTTAGGTACCCTTGTAAGACTTGGTTTTGTGTCTTCCACAGCGAGTGTCGTGGCTCAGACGGAAGGACATGCAGCTTCTGGCCATCGGAGAGACCCAGTACACGAACGACCACCGCATCTTCGTGTCCCATTCAAGACACTCCCACAAGAAGGATTCAAGGCACACCCAGGTAAGTCCCATGTACACCGAGGTCAGAGCCCACCCAACTCTCACTCACTCACACACACACACACACACACACACACACACACACACACACACACACACACACACACACACGAGTCTCCATGCACACGAAGGTTGGGAAATATAGTTCAAGACATTTGCTAGAGGAAACATTTCGCTACGAGTGGCTTCTTAGGACATAAGCTCCTTTTAGCGAAGCGTTTCCTCTAGTAAATGTCCTGAACTGTACATAAGTGACTTCCCACATCTTACCTGTACCAACATGCCATTTTTCAAACGAAGGTTAGTTCTCCCACACACACATACCAGACCTGCCACTTTTCATTGGCATGTACCTAATAAGATGGTTCAAACAAGCTGAAGTGCTTTACAAACAATCTAATTTTGTACATTGTGCATTTAGGATATATTCTCGTTAATTATGGTACTTTTTTCAATATATTAATATAGAAACCAACTCTAAGCTTGCTAATAATTAATAGCAACACTTGCACGCGTGTTTGCTTTCCTGAATATAATAACTAAATGCTAAATACAATTAGAATTATGCTATTTTGCATAATATATATTGTTCTGTAGATCCTGAATGTCAAATAGACAAAGGGTTAGGTGGGGAAACTATTAGACTGAATGATAAGAAAGATGACGATGAAAAGGACAGAGAGAGAATCCAATAAGACCTCAGAGTCTCGTTTGTATAGACTCTTGAGAAGTCAGGGCAATTGAGACTGAAATGTTCATCCCCAAATATTAGCCCGGCGCGTCCTATGGGAACGACTAGAGCTTATAGAACCGAGCAAACAGCTGGAGTATAGTAGAAAAAAAAGCAGAAATGGCCAGAAGCACAGTAGTTTGAGCTGTTTAAAAGTGGTTTCTTTTATGCCTATTTTATGACAAAAGGTGACTTTACGGGGTGCAAAAGGCAGTTTATATACAGTAAAGTGTACACTTGCTGTAAATGTTACAGCAACCTTATTCTCCCTCCTCTTCCTCCCTGTGGATATTGTGCATTAGTAATCGCTTATTTAGCAATTACTTACACGTGCATGCCCGTGTGTACACATGCGTATGTGCGGGGAGAGGGTGCGGAGGGGATGGCGCAGTCTCCTACCACTAGTGATAATCGTACACAGTTCAAGGTTTCCTTTGTTTTGGTGCCAGAGAGAGCTTCTTAAGAAAATTAACGTAGTAAAATAAGGATAGGCCGTAAGTCCCGGCTTGTCATGAGAGCCAAACTTCATCACCTTTTGCGGCACATCAAGCCTGGACGTGCAGACAGTCCAGGTCTTAAAACCCGCCATCTGAAGTTGCAAGAGTTGCCGGAACATTAAGCCCGTGGGTGTGTATAAAGAGGCTTATAACCCGGCTGCTCGTTAGAGCTCAACTTGGGAACTTCGACGTGGGTAAACTTGTATCAGGCAGCAAGACAGAGAGAGACTCGGGGTGAAAATGGATTACACAAATTAATCTCCGCGAGGTACACCGCCGCCGGATTTTACTTGCCAGCTTTGTGACGAGGAGCTGTCCTTTACCTCTCTCAGGATGCCACATTGACCCCTTCCGTCCCTGACCCCTGTGACTTACCAAGTGTCGCCGTCGTCTGCACCTGAAACACTTCACCCTCGCTCACAGCCTTCTCTTTTCCTGCCTAATTCATTCATTCCTCCTTCTCTCTTCGTAATTATTTCCTATCCTCATCCTTCCTCTCCATTTTCCTCTCATCCTCTTCTTTTTTCCTCCCTCTTCAATGAACCTTCTCTCCAATTTATTTCTCCATTCTTTTCCCTCTCTCACTCCACTTCAAACTTAGTTTCCCCCTACACATCCTTCCCTCAACCTCTTCAATACAGTTTCTCCTCCTGCTTCACCCGCTCCTCCTCCTCCACTTATCATTTCCTTCCTACTTCTCTTACTCCTGCGCCCCTCCCTCCTTCAGCATTAATGCAAGCGTAGTGTTAGGAAGGCGCGAGAGGCGGATAATTAAGGGGGAGTGGAGGAGGGAAAAGAGGCGTGCCTCCTCTGGGCTCTGGTTAATTTAATGACCAGAAGGTATGGTAATGAGTGGAACTACAAACTTAAGTCGCCTCGAATTAAGCTCAATGCCGTAGGTGAGGAGGGAAGGATGGAGAGGAAAGGAAGGAAAGGATGCAAGAAAGGAGGCTGGGAATGAGGATTATGCATAGACTAAGGAGTAAAGAAATGATGAAGACCGTGGTAATATGAAAGGTGTAAGTCAAAAGTTAGGGAAAGATTTTTTTTAGAAAGTTTGGTCATTTAGAAAGGTTGGAACAAAATAGGAAGATAGAGAGGGAGCATAAATCCAGAGCTGATGGAAGGTGTACGGGACGTCCCAAGAAGAGTTGGCAGAATGTGAAAAGAAAAAAGTTTCGAGTGATTGGGGCTTGAGGATCCTGCAGCTACGTTTGGGAGGAGTTAAACTGTAGAGTCCAGATAAATGGCTTTAACGATTTGACTTGCTGTTGGAGTGTGAGCTGGGTTCCATTTATGAAGTTGTTCAGTTGTGAAGTGAAGTGCCTGCATTGTGAAAGATGAATGGTTGGATATTTACTGCTAGGAAGGTCACTGAGTTGGGAAGTAAGGTGCCTGGATGGTTGGATGTTTACTGCTAAGAGTGGTCTCTGGAACACAATGTCTCTCCACTTACAGAAAGCCATTCAGGGACAGATATGGCATAGCCTACAAAGCAAATCGTATTTGCAAAAGAGTCGGAACTAGGAACAAACTAGACGAAGACCAGGAAACAAACACACGCAATTTTACATACAGATGAACACACACCAAAAAAATTTCTTAATTTATATGAGCAAACATACACGCTGGCGCACAGTTACGCATGTATAGTTACGCATGCACAGATGTTTTTATACACACGGAGCCAGTAAAAGTATTGTTCTTTTTTCAATGTTGAAAATTAAATCCAGGATGAAAGCAAATGCGTTACTTGCAAATAATTATAGTAAAGAAAATTTAAAGAAAAACAGGAATAATAATAGCAACAACAAAAATATAATATTAATAATAATTAATAATAATAATAATAATAATAATAATAATAATAATAATGAAAAGTTACTGAAGATTAGTCAGTTGAAATTCTGAAGATCAGATGTGTTTTGGTCACTGATTGATACAAGACAAACATACACGAATTTCATAAGCCCAGCCCCTTCTACCTCAACTATCCGAGAAATTTATCCTCATACCCCGTAAGACCAGGTCTCCATTCCTCATAAAGAAACAATACAGAGTGCAGCTTAAGTTAATTATGCAGTTAAATTTCAATGATAAAATTTTAAATATAAAATCAAAATCTTTCTGCAAGATACACTAGCGTTTAAGGTTTAAAGCCGAGGAGACGGGAAGGAGGTAGATGAATGGAAGGAGGGAAAAGAAAATAGAAGAGGAGGAGAAAGGAGGAGAAGAAAGAAGCAATAGCTAGTATCAGAAGGAGCATGAAATAATCCAAGCTACCTTCCAAACGTCGACTATCTTTTCGCAGGGTCACCGACTTTAAATGTCCTGTCTTCGCCGGGTCACCCAGACATTTAAATGCCGGGTCACCCAGACATTTAAATGTCCTGTCTCGCCGGGTCACCCAGACGTTTAAATGACCCATGCGTGACGACGTGCCTGGTGCGCCCTGATTTAAATGTCTTTCTTATTGAGGCTCGTTTATTAAGTTTCTGTCTTCGACTTCACCTTATTATAAGTGTCAGTTATTAAAAATTATTATCACAGAGAAAGTTTGCCGACAATGGATTTTTCCACTGCAAAGAACAGTATGGAGTGATCCAGTGCTTAGTAAATGGGTCGAGAACCTGGCTTTCGTAGGCCAGTGGATGTTTAACCAGCGGTCAGGCCATGGAAGAACCGCTCCAGGAAACACTAATATTTCCTGACGAACAAAACACCACAGCAGCTACTGACAAGTTTATCCTGCGTGTGTGTTGTAACACTGGATCCAAATATCGTACTGCCAACAGTATTACATAAAAAGTTATAGAAAAAAATTTATATTGCGTAAACGTTTCGCTCCGTGTTGAGGGAAATGTTGATAGTTTGAGCAGGTCAGTGTTTCCCTCAAGTGCGAAATATTGACTTGATAAAATATTTTTCCAATCTTCTCCTCACCATCATGAGTAGCGCTAAACCCACTGGGGTCAAACAGCAGCTGGGGAATGGAAGGTAATCAGGCTTAATTCGAGAAAGGGGAGAGTAGCTCCAATTAATTGGATCAAGAGCGCTTCACTATCGAGGCGCCTCACCTAAGAAGGGTTTGACGTGTGATCTGCGTTTGGGTTAGACGAGTGACACGACCACAGCTCGCATGTGACACGCAGTGTGGCACTAGTGTCACTGGAAACAGGAAGTGCCATATTGAGATACATGTGCAATGTGCAAGGTTGCCAGTGTTGGCAACGAGAGAGTATTTAAAAAAAAGTTTGGTAGGTGCTGGGGGTCGCGAGGGTGACACGAGTGTCATGTGATGTCACACGTGTGTCATGTAATGTCACGTGAATATGTCATGTGATGTCACGTGTGTCCTGTGATGTCACGTGTGTCCTGTGATGTCACGTAAATGTGTCATGTGATGTCACGTATGCGTACGATCCTATTTATACTTAATTTGTGGCTGCAGGGGTCGATTCACAGCTCCTGGCCCCGCCTTTTTGCTTGTCGCTTCTAGGTCCACTCTCTCCCTGCTCCATGAGCTTTACCATACCTCCTCTTAAAGCTATGTATGGATCCTACTTCCACTACATCACTCTCCAGATTGTTCCATTTCCTGACAACTCTGACTGAATAAATACTTCCTAACATCCCTATGACTCATCTGAGTTTTCATCTTGTTGTAGTATCCCATCTCTGAAACATTCAGTCCTTATCCACCTTGTCAATTCCTTTCAGTATTTTATATTACGTTATCGTGCCCTCCCTATCCCTCCTGTCCTCCATTGTCGTGAGGTTAATTTCCCTTTACCTCTTCTCGTTGGACATACCACTTAGCTCTGGGACTAATCTTGTTGCAAACCTTTGCACTGTTTCTAACTGCATGACGTGCTTGACCAGGTCTGGGCTCCATACTGGTGCTGCATACTCCAATATGGGCCTGATGTACCCGGTGTACAGGGTCTTGAATGACTCCTTACTCAGTTGTCGAAACGCTATTCTTAGGTTAGCCAGGCGCCCATATGCTGCAGCAGTTTGGTTGAAGTGCGCCTCAGATGTGCTCGGTATGAAACTCACCCCAAGATCCTTTGTCTTAAATGAGGTTTGCAGCCTTTGGTTCCCCTAGTTTGTACTTCGTCTGCGGTCTTCTTTGACATTCTCCAATCTTCATGACTTTGCACTTGGTGTGGGTTAATCTCCAGGAGCCAGTTGTTGGACCAGGCTTGCAGCCTGTTCAGATCCCTTGGTAGATCAACCTGATCCTTATCCACTTGAATTCTCCGCATTAGCTTCACATCGTCTGCAAACAGGAACACCTCTGAATCTATACCTTCCGTAATGCCATTCCAATATACCAGAAACACACCAGCCCTAGGACCGACCCTTCTGGAACCCCGCTCGTCACAGGCGCCCAGTCTGACACCTCGACGCGTATCATCACTCGTTGATGCCTTCCTGTCAGGTATTCTCTGATCCATTGCAGTGCCTTTCCTGTTATTCCTGCCTACTCCTCTAACTTTTGCACTAATTTCTTGTGCGGAACTGTGTCGAAAACCTCCTTACAGTACAAGAATATGCAGTCTACCCACCCCTCTCTGTTTTATTTTTGTTACCTTGTCGTAAAACTCCAATTGTTTGTTTGTGTGCGTGTGCGTGTGTGCGTGTGTGTGTGTGTGGTGTGTGTGTGAGTGTGTGTAAAATTTCATGAGAATTAGTCAGGTAAAGGAGAGTTAATACTGGCAAAGTGCAATTTGATGACAGGTGCCAATTAGTGAGACACTTCGTTACACAGGCACAGTGCCTGTAGTAACGCTCTACTATGGTAAAGTTGACACTTAATGTTGAATTACTCATGTAGTGCCAGGTCTCGAAATAAAGCCTGGTGCCAGAGACGACACGGGAGGTGCCACTGGTAACACGGGATGCAAAATATGACACGGGAGTGCATAAGATGAGAGGGTGAGTGCATAAATGACACGGGGGGTGTATAAGATATACATTACCAGACTCGCAAACACGGGTACCAGACTCGCAAACACGGGTACCAGACTCGCAAACACGGGTACGAGACTCGCAAACACGGGTACCAGACTCGCAAACACGGGTACCAGACTCGCAAACACGGGTACAGACTCGCAAACACGGGTACCAGACTCGCAAACACGGGTACCAGACTCGCAAACACGGGTACCAGACTCGCAAACACGGGTACGCAGATCGCCAAACACGGGTACCAGACTCACAAACACGGGTACCAAACTCGCAAACACGGGTAGCAGACTCGCAAACACGGGTACCAGACTCGCAAACACGGGTACCAGACTCGCAAACACGGGTACTAGACTCGCAATCACGGGTACCAGACTCACAAACACGGGTACCAAACTCGCAAACACGGGTAGCAGACTCGCAACCAGGGACCAGACTCGAGAACAGGTACCAGACTCGCAAGACTATGCGTTTAAGAAGATTTGCTGTACTTCAGTGCACATTTTAGTGAGATACAAGGTTTACTAGATCAGGGAGAGAGAGAGAGAGAGAGAGAGAGAGAGAGAGAGAGACAGACAGACAGACAGACAGACACGCTCTTCTTACTGAGAGATGGAAAACACACATTCTCCGGCCGCAAATGTAAACTTCTAATATTGTTCTGGTATACTCTTGTAATATGCTCCACTTCTCTTAGACTCGAGGCTCTTTGTACTCGTTTTCCGCTGCTGACAGATGGAGTGAGTTTATCACCTGCAGAGTTGACAGATGGAGTGGGTTTATTTTATCACTTGCTGAGCTGACAGATGGAGTGGGTCTATTTCATCGCTTGCTGACAGCTGAAGTGAATTTATATTATCGCCTGCTGACAGCTGAAGTAAATATATATTATCGCCTGCTGACAGAGAGAGCTTATTTTATTCCCTTGGGACAGATGGAGTGAGCTTATTTCATCACCTGCTAACAGATGGAATCAGTTTAACACCTGCTTACAGACTGAAAGCCATTACTCATCTCCTGTTGACAGATGAAATTCCATAGGCTTATTTGCTCTCTTTATGATAGACATGCATCTCTCTCTCTCTCTCTTCCAGACATAAGTCATTCTTTAACAAGTCAACCTCCTTTCTAATCTTGCTGACAGATGCAATGCATTTCCATCGTGCTGACAAAGTTAATTCTTTTTATCCTGCTCACAGATGTAACTTTTTTATTTTTTAAATCCACCTGACGTATGGGAGGCATTTAATTTTTTGTGCCAACAGATGTGGAACATTTTAATTAACCTGGTTGTGAAGTTTCCTTTCGCTTGATTTTAAATGATTTGGAATAATTATATTTTATGAAGATGTAAATATAGTTATTTTGATAAATTATTTATTTCCACCGTTGACGGATTCATTGCCATTTAAGCGCTGTCATGTATAGTTATCAATTTATCCTGTTGATAATGTAAAGCCCTTGAATTTTTCTTCTGACAGAGACATTTACTTCTCCTGCCGACATAAATAGAGCCAATTAGTTACTATACTGACAGCTGTGAAGACATTTATTTACCCTGGTGACAGACACAAAGCCATGTAATTTTTCTGCTGAAAGATAAAGCACTTAATTATCCTAACTGACAGATAAATTATTTTAGAAGAGTCCTAACAGACAGCAGGAGAACAGTAGCATTTACAAGCGCCACACGTGAAGAGAGAGACACTGGAAACAGTGAACCTCTTACAAGCGCCACACGTGAAGAGACACTGGAAACAGTGAACCTCTTACAAGCGCCACACGTGAAGAGAGATACTGGAAACAGTGAACCTCTTACAAGCGCCACACGTGAAGAGAGAGACACTGGAAACAGTGAACCTCTTACAAGCGCCACACGTGAAGAGAGAGAGACTGGAAACAGTGAACCTCTTACAAGCGCCACACGTGAAGAGAGAGACACTGGAAACAGTGAACCTCTTACAAGCGCCACACGTGAAGAGAGAGACACTGGAAACAGTGAACCTCTTACAAGCGCTACCTTTCCTGCTGATATTTCTTGCTGACACGTAAACAAGTTTAATTCTCCTTCTGACATACTGAAAAGAACCCCTTTCTCTCTCCGAATGATCGGAGGTCCTATTATAATTGTCCAATATTGTGATTTTTTTTTATGATAGCGGATAAATTTAGTATACTGTCTTGTTATATGTGTTATACGTTAGCCACAATAGATGCAGCTGATAGACGTAACTCAGTGAAACATCAGACAGTCATCCATGCATTCAGCGGCTGACAAACGTAAGACAATAATAAATTAAATCGTTATGCATGTATTCAGCAGCAGATAGACGTATAACAACGCGAAACAATGAGTTATTCTTGCATTTAAAAGCTCACATTTGTAAAACACAGTTTCTCCAATCTACAGATGTGGTTCCTACACACATGTAACATATGCTTCACCCTCTACGGATGGAGTTCCTGCATATACATGTAACACTTTCGTCTTCCTTTTACAGATGTGGTTCCTACACATACGAAACGTGACGAAGAACGACGAGGGAGAGTACGAATGTCAGACGTCCACGCATCCCCCAATGACTTTCATGACCTTCCTCAAAGTTCAGAGTAAGTCTTACATAGTTGGCTCGTTGCTTCTCCAATCTCACTGGCAGGCAGAGTAAAGTTGAATAGCCTAGTGTTGCTTTTCCAGCTTCACTGGCTATCCAGACTAAATATAAAGTCGTCTGATGTGGCTTCTCCAGCTTCACTGATAAAGTACGTACACCTAACGTTGTTTCTGGAGACTAACTGGTAAGCAGAGAAAGATTTCAAGAGGATTCCCGCATCCACGTGCCAACCGCAATACAGTCGACAAGGTAAAGGGAATCTGAACCACTCTAGGTACAGAATAAACACACTAAGAATTTATCTGTCGGGGTATATACATAGCGAGGGAAGCAACTCACTACTGTATACATTCTTAGAGGTTCGTATCTCATTGTATAAACACTTCGCTTTTTATCTATAGTTTAAGGTTTATAATATTTAGTAATTGGTCACTGAGAAAATGATGAACAATTATTATTGTTACGCCTCGTTCACCAGGAGTTTTTTTTCAAGGATATACAAATAATACGAGGAAAGGAAGGTATAAAAAGGAAACCTGGTGATTAGCAGGAGAAGCATAAGCACGACAAGTCGTGTTTGTAATTTTAGAAGTGACTTCTTTTTCTTCATGTGACAGCGAAGTTTATAGTTTCAAGGTGGAAATGATTATTGTAATTTGGGTTTATGAAACTTAACCTAAAATTAGTATTATTTACCGAATAGCGTGTGTTTCATAAGACCTATTGTCCACGTATTCAGTGTTCGATAAGTATGCATTAGTTTACGAGAATAATGTCACTGAACCTTGAAGACAATGATAATGTCAAGAGTAACGTGAAAACTAATGACCAGATCACCTCAGCTTAACTTGACCACCTCAGCATACCCTGACCACCGCTTAGGTGTTTGACGTCAGTCTAAGATCTCTCTTTGTCTGAGGAAATATGTTGTACTGGTCATAAGTAGAGTGAATTGTGTGGAAGCTCTAACACGAGAATACATGAGAACACTTGGGAGTACATGGAGACATCAGATAACAGGAAATCCGAGGGTCTAAATCGAAGATATCCGCTAAGAAACGGTCTACATTGTACCACCTCAAATTCTATTATTAATGAATACAATACAGACAAGATGATCAATAATACACTTGCTCTTTGAAGAAGCTTGCACAGAGGAAGAGTTTCAGCATTACAGATATCTCTAGTGTTGTGCATGTGTCTTGTTCATCACCTCTAATTCTAAGTCAGGAGAGCAAAAGCAGAAAGATATACCTGTGCATGTCATTGATCTGGGAAAATCTTAATATGGTTTAGTGACTTTTTATAAGTGTTATTCTACAATAATGATAAGTATTTGTTATGTGATGCCGTGCAATTAGCCGTGCAAGAATGGTTGGTCAAGAAATGACAGGGAAGCTACAGTTCTTTGGATCAAGAGCCTCTCAGTATCACTTGAAGAGATTAAAAAGAAAAGGCTTAGGAATGCAAGTTGCCAATTTATGTTTTTATTAACTTTATAAATCTCCCTCTATAGTCTTCCCCTCTCCTTACAAAAATAAAGACACACAATACCCGAGCAATATGCAAATAGCCTGCACTTAGGAGATAAACTTCAGTCTAGGAGCGGGTTATTTGTATATATCCCCCCCCCCCTCTCTCCTTCCTACTTTTTCCCATCCCTTTCCCTTTTCCTCATTCTATTCTCACCCCTACCCATATCTCATTCTCGATTCTCTTCCTCTTTCACTTCAGCTCCTCCTCCTCCTGCTTCCTCAGGTCCATTAATCCTTCTCGCTCACTTCTGCTCCTCCTCTTCTTTCACTTCCACGATACCCCTTTCCCCTCTGACTCTACCCTACTCCCAAGTCCTATTTCCCACTGTCACTGGGGTGTCGCGCAGCTCATCGGTAAGAACATTCGGCTCACAGTCGCAAACCATCGTCTTCAATTCCAAAGCAAGGAGAAATATTGACAGTTTTCTCACCTCCCTGCTGCTCTTGGAGTATACCTGGCGAGGGTTTTGGGGATCAACGCCCCTGCTGCCCGGTCTGTGACCAGGCCTCTGCCCACACAGCAGCAAAAATATTTACCTGTGTGCTAGTAGACTGTTGTGGGTTCCATCCTGGGGGGGAGGAAACGTGTTAGAGGTCCCCAGTACTGCTGTTATGTAAACAAACGACCGTACTTACAGGAATGCCATGTCCTGTGAATGAAATCTCTCTCACGTTTTTACCCTCCCTCTCACTCCTCCTCCAGTCGTAATCCTCTTCCTTCTTCACACCTATTCCTCTTCACCCCCCTCCTCAGTTTTTACCCCTATCCCCTCTCCCTCCGTCTTAATTCTCTTATTTTCTGCCTCATCCTTCCCTACCCTCCATCCTGCCACTCATCCTCTCCCTATCGCTCACTCCTTCCCCTTTCCTCACTTTCTCTCACCCCCTCTTCCACTCTCTACCCTAGAAGAAAATCCAGCTTTCCTTCAAGGAAACCTTGAATCCATAGTAGTAATTCTTATATTCATGGGGATGCGCTAAATCTATAGGAGTAATACAATCCACAAGGAATGGAAAGTGATCAGGTTTGATGTAAGGAAGACTAGGGAAGGGAAGTTCTCTTCATGGATCAAGTCATTCACCAGCCTTAAGCTATTCATTTTGAAGGAATCCAGGGTGACCCAAAGAAAACACATTCACCATCATCAATCGTCGTTTTGCCAGACGCGTGCTGACATCATATTTCACATTAACCTTCAATTCCATCATCCTCACCCCTCCGCCAGAGTTCAAGGAATGCCCTTAACACCTCCAAGACTCAAGTCCGGCTTTCCCGAATCCTTTCATAAAAGGTTCGTTGCTCGTACTCCAACAGCAAGTCCATTAAAAAACCACTTGTTTCCATTCACTCTTACTTAACACGCTTATACAAGACAACTCGATGTTTAAACCCCTAAACCTCAAAGCTTCCTTTACCCATTCCCTCCAACCGTTCCAACCCCTCCTCCTACACTATACACTCATCATCCCGTCCGTCTCCTTGCCAGAACCACTTAACAACTCTTCCTCAGACCTCTGAATTATACCCATCGCGATATATATATATATATATATATATATAATATATATATATATATATATATATATATATTATATTATATATTGCAAACAATCGCAGACAGGCGATATTAACTATGCAAGACAAGCCGCGGGGGTGGAAATCTTTAGCGCAAGTTCTTTCATGCTTCTCAGTGCGTCATCAGGAGCTATGCAATGTTGCAAGGCAGCAAATGAATGAGTGAGGAGAAGTTTTCTCAGAGTAGCGCAGTGCTAGTCTGTCACCTCCTGGAGCCTCTCTCAGAATGTGGGCCAACAGCAGGTACCAACCCTGCACCACGGTGCGGGGTTACAGTAATATAAAATACTGCTCGTGAAGGCTAGTACACCAAACGGGGAGTAGAATGAAATTAGCTCAGAGGCACCCACACCACCGTATGTCCTCGGATCAAGGTAAAATACCTAGCTCTGCTGGGTGCTTGATTCTTGCAGGATTACGTGGTCCAGTGTGTTAAAGCATCATTTAAGATTTTTGCTCAACATAAGGCGAGCCAAAACATCATAGGTTCGAGTCCTTGCCTAATCGCAGTATTGTTATGATCAATACCACTCATCCATGGTTACAATAATACAAAATACTGCTTATTGGGCAAGTACACAAAACAGGGAGCAGAATGAAATTAGCTCAGATGCACCCACAACACATCATGTCCTCGGACCAAGGGTAACACACCTAGCTTGGCTGGGTGCTTGGTTCTTGAAGATTTGGTGGTCCTGTCGGTTAGAACGTCATGTGATTTTCGCTCATCATAAGGCTGGCCAAAACATCATGGGTTCCAGTCCTTGCCTAATCGCAGTGTTGTTATATATATATATATATATATATATATATATATATATATATATATATATATATATATATATATATATATATATATATGTCGTGCCGAATAGGCAGAACTTGCGATCTTGGCTTAAATAGCAACGTTCATCTTGCCATATAGGACAAGTGAAAATTTGTGTATGCAATAATTTCGCCAAAATCATTCTGAACCTAACGAAAAAAATATATTTCACTGTGTTTGTTTAGTATTAAATTATTGTAAACACATCTAAAATATATTTAGCTGGATTAGGCTAAAATAAATTGTTTTTGTTATAATAAGGTTAGGTAAGTTTTCTAAGATTCTTTTGGTGCAAATTTTAAAATTTTTACATTAACATTAATGAAAAAATATATCTTTAAACGTATAAGAGAAAATTTTCGAAAGGGCTTAATTTTAAATGAGTTCTTGCTAATTGACCAGTTTTACATATTCGGCACGACTTTATATATATATATATATATATAATATATATATTATATATATATATATATATATATATATATATATATATAATATTATATCACTTCCGCAGCTTCCCCCTTTCCCCCCAAAAAATGCGAAAGGTAAATATTGTAAATAAAGTTTTTTTTTTCTGTTTATTTTTCCGTTTTCTTTTATTACGTGGTTTTGGTTACAAAACTCCTGGGACTTTTGTTTTAAAATCGGAGGACACTAGGGAAGGGGAAGGTATGGGACTTTCTTTACTACCTTTATGGAACGTTCTCCCATATTGTTATATATATATATACATATATATGTGTGTGTGTGTGTGTACTCAATTGTGGTTGCAGGGTTCGAGACAGCTCCTGGCCCCGCCTCTTCACTGATCACTACTAGGTCCTCTCTCTCTCTGCTTCCAGAGCTTTGTCATACCTCGTCTTAAAGCTATGTATGGCTCCTGCCTCCACTACATCGCTTGCCAGACTATTCCACTTCCTAACTACTCTATGACTGAAGAAATACTTCCTAACGTCCCGATGACTCGTCTGAGTCTTCAGCTTCCAATTGTGACTCCTTGTTTCTGTGTCCCATCTCTGGAACAACCTGTCTCTGTCTACCTTATCTATTCCACGCAGTAT